AATACGAATGAAAGACTGATTATGAAACTACGATATTTTGTTTTCTGTATAGATTTACTTTTTTACGCAAGTTTGCAAATTCAACCGTATATAAATATCTTAAAAGAATTGGTGCTATTAACCGACATATTTGTAGAATATTTGAGTAGAAAAAAGTAAAACGACAGACGCGTAGGTTGGAGAGATTAACAAATAAGTTACGTAAATAAAATGCTGAGAAGCATAATAATACCCCCCTCCCTCCAGATTATTTTTATAGTTAAACTACTAGACTCATAATTGTGTCGTGACATTCTCCCCCTCATTGCTGTTCTAATAATCGCTAGTAAAGTTTACGTATTCTAAACTGCTAGCATCTTCTTTCGCTATTACAAAAAACAATCTTGAATACTAAAGACTCGATAAGGTTCTTTAAGCGAGAGTAGAAACTTGAACAGTTTGAAAGTGTTATTCTAAAGTAATGTAACAATTTAAAAAGAAACAAGAGGAAAACGTCTCCGCGGTAAATTGCAAGTCCTTTCGTAACTCGATTTGAATGTTGTTTTTTATGTTTACGTCAAATCTGAAATATTTACTGGAAGTTAAACGTCATAAGATCAAAACATTACTAGTGACAAGTATGAAGTCAGACCGATACAAAATTGTTTAATACTTGGATCTAATAAAGGTAAATAAAACCTTACACTGCAAACCCAGCTGTTACAGTTTTAAAAAGTTCCTAATTTTACGATAACCTTTAACTGTTGGTTTTTTGTTGTTTTTTAAATTAAGCACAGAGATACACGATGGGTTATCTGTGCTCTGCCTACCACGGGTATCGAAACCCGGTTTGTAGTGTTTGTAAGTCTGCAGGCATGCCGCTGTGTCACTGGGGGGGGGGCTAACTGTTTTGTTGTTGTTTTTATTAGTTCAAAGCTATACAGTGGGTCATCTTCACCCTTTCCGCTACTTGGAATCGAACTCCGGATTTCAGCATTGTAATTCTGTAAACTTACCACTAATCCATCGGGAGGCTAGGCTAATTGTGTTATTTTAAAACCAAAAGGTAAACGTACTACTAATCTATCGAGGGGCTAGGCTAATTGTGTTATTTTAAAAGCAAAAGGTAAACTTACTACTAATTTATCGAGGGGCTAGGCTAATTGTGTTATTTTAAAACGAAAAGGTAATGAACGATCCCTTCCAAAAATTTAACTTTGGAAAAATAATTGATGAAAATTTGGTGTGTTTTTTTTGTTAAAGATATATTATAAAATAAAAAAGTGCTATCCGACGTTTCGTTTTTTCACTGTTACCAGAAACATTGAGTTCTGTAACATACATGTTAGAACAAAAATAAAAAACAGTCCCATCATTCTCCTCAATGGGTCAGCGGTGAGTTTACGGACTTAGAACGCTAATATTCGGGGTTCGATTTCTCGTGGTCACATGAGCACAGTTAATCTATTGTGTTACTTTTGCCCTAAGACAAATAAAAATTCCATTGAACACGTCGAACCACTATTTACTACACCGGCAAAGTGATCAGAATTCTTTGGGCACATCACCAAGGGCAACCTAGCTGCAAAACAGTATCAACAAGAATGATCAGAACAGAATAGCGCACTACCATATAGTTTTTTTGAGCAACATACTATCAGAACAATAAACCAGAACCACTTAATACATCATTATAGAAACAGTTTTAAATCAACATACTATCAGAACAATAAACCAGAACCACTTAATACATTACTATAGACGCAGTTTTAAATCAACATGCCACCAGAACAATGAACCAGAACCACTTAATACATCATTATAGACACAGTTTTAAATTAACATGCCACCAGAACAATGAACCAGAACCACTTAATACATCATTATAGACACAGTTTTAAATTAACATGCCACCAGAACAATAAATAAGGACCAACTAATACATCATTATAAACAGTTTTAAATTAACATGTCACCAGAACAACGAACCAGAACCACTTAATATATCATTATAAACAGTTTTAGATCAACATGCCGGCAGAATCACTTGATCCATTGTCATCAGATACACAATTTTAAATCACAACATACCATCAGAACAATGACCAAAACCACGAATTACATCAGCAGAGACCTAGTTTTTAGATCAGCATACCACAAGTACAATAACCAGAACCACTTAATTCATCAGCAGAGACCTAGTTTTAGATCAGCATACTACAAGTACAATAACCAGAACCACTTAACTCATCATCATAGACCCAGTTTTATATCAGCATACCACAAGAACAATGACCAAAACCACAAATTACATCAGCAGAGACCTAGTTTTTAGATCAGCATACCACAAGTAAAATAACCAGAACCACTTAATTCATCAGCAGAGACCTAGTTTTATATCAGCATACCACAAGAACAATGATCAGAACCACTTAACTCATCATCACATACCCAGTTTTACATCAGCATTCCACAAGCACAATGACCAGAACCACTTAACTCATCATCATATATCCAGTTTTACATTAGCATACCACAAGCACAATGACCAGAACCACTTAACTCATCATCATATATCCAGTTTTACATTAGCATACCACAAGAACAATGATCAGAACCACTTAACTCATCATCAGAGACCTAGTTTTTATATCACCATACCACAAGTACAATAACCAGAACCATTTAACTCATCATCAGAGACCTAGTTTTAGATCAGCATACCACAACTTATTCGTTTACCTCGATTCAAAATCGTAAGCTTATGCCTTTGAATGAAGTTCAAGGTCAAAGATAATCGGCCAATTTTAGGGTTAAGAAAGCTCCGTAGCAAGTTTTAACGTTTACAGCAGTCTTTCCTTCAACAGTAAAAATAATCAACCATTTATGTTGTTACTTAATAATTATTAACTAAACAAAAATGTTACCCCTAATATTATCTTTTTTGAAACATAAAATTCCTTTTTATTATTTATCCCTTAAAATGCTCCCTAATAGTTAGGCCTGAAACTTTAAGACTATTATAAGAAGTATACAGTTTGATTACACCAAGTTTGATCAAAACGTTACAAGAAGAAAACTGGATTAGCTAGAAATCTATATCATTAATATCAGATCGTTTACTCTAAAATTTAGAAACAAAGTACAACAACAAGAAAAGAAATAAGAAAAACCCACCTGTTCTACACATGTATATTTATTTCTGGGTTTCAGGGTTTACAGTGTAGGTCAAAGAAAACTGGAAAATAATACAGTCACAACTACCTTTATTTAAACTGATGACTTCGTTATTTCAAATACATTTTTATTAAAAACTGTAAGCAAGTGACAAGGCACAGTATTTGGCTAAATTGTAAAGAAATTATATTAATTTAGAAATATTGAGCCTGTTAGATTGAAAATTATGAGAGGGCGTTAGAGAGGTCCCTGGCATATTTTACACGAACAAGCTCCGTCGTCCAAAGAGCCAATTTTCTGTGAATTCGGGTTAGTTTCTATAGAACAAGCACAAAAACATTGAAAGAATACTCTGTATTGTTCTTAATACGCCACTCATAAATACAGAAGCAAAAAAAATATTATCTGAAAATTTATTCGAAATATTTTATAGCATTAATTAGAGTTTATTAATTTTAACAACACAATGTTATTCACGTATTCGTTTTTGGTTGTTATTTTCAATAATGTTTCACTTCGCTGTCAAGCCAGAGCATAGAAGTCTTCAAGCAAATTTAGTGGTGTCTCTGATGTGAAAAAAAAAATCGACAACATAACTTAAAAAGTTTATGGTTTTTTTTCTGTACAAAATAAAGAAAAGCTTATAACAGTATCACAAATACAAGTCCGAGAGAGGAAAAAATAAAACACAGTTGTATAAGCAATCGTAAGGAACTAGAAAAACATACAACCTAAAAACATTTACATCTCGTATTTATATAATTTAAATATATTTGAATGTTTTTTTTTTTTATATATATACAAGAGAGCTGACAAGTTTTCATTTACGTCACACGTATTTGTTGGATAGCTCTTTCGCTAGTTTAGTGTATTTTAAAAACTTAGAATGAGGACTCTCTTCTGCTGGTATTCCTGAAGGTGGCGGAGATTCTTTTGTCACTAAATAAGGTTCGTTCAATATTTTTCCACCAGAGGGAGAAGAAGCTTCACAAAAGGAAGCTTCGGGGATGTTTGGGTCTTTTACAAAATGTATCTTACTCAGATGGTGCCTGTAAGCACCTTTGGTAAGAAAATGAGTGTCACAAAAGGCACACTTCATTAAGGAATCTGACTTAGTGGCGTCGTTACATGCCCAGCTAAACGCCAGAATTGACCCTGGCTGAGTTTGAACACCAGAACACGACGCACTAACATCCGTTTTGTCCAATAGTTTTTGAAGTTCTCGAAGAGGGTGGCCTGTAAACGGTATATCAACATTTTCGGAGATTTGTAGGTGATTTTTGTCTAATTCGTGATTCAGGTCGGTTGAAGACAATTTCGAAGAATTACTTAATGACGAGGGACTTGATTTGCCTTTATCTTGAAAAGTATCACAAGGTGAAGCGGCTTCTTGAAGACGTTTGAAGACATTTGTCTGGCTTAAAGAATGGTTTACGTCACACATTTCTTCACCAATTTCACTAGATTCACCATTCGCTTGGTCGATTTCAGAAGATACGTCCAGAGAATCTTCAGCGTGATCACTTACTGGACTTTTCGACCGTACAGACCCTAGTGGACTTTCTTTACCTTGTCCTCTCGGGGAACAGTAATCATGAGAATCCTTTTCATCAACTTTGTGAAATGAATCTGGTAGAAGCGAAAGCGATTGTCCAGGTGAGGAAGTGTTTATGAAATTAGAACCAACACTAGTCTCTGATCTAACCGATTGTGTAGATGAATGCTCTTTGTGTTTATTATCTGAAGAACTATCTTTCTGGATCTTGTTGTTGAGCACATTGTTATCAGAAACGTCTGGTAGTCTGGGTGAACCATTTTTTATGTCTATTGATTTTTTCCCTAACACTCCAGATGGAGAAGATGAAATTCCAGACTTTGAATCGTTTCCCCCCTTTCCAGGGGAGTGCCAAGGTGAATTTATTTCCTCATCGATTCCTAACCTTTGTAAAATGCCTGTTGAACCATTACCGCTAATTTTGCTTCTATTTTCAAAGCTCTTCTCTATCAGTTTTTCAATTGCGTTTAGCACAGAAGTAGATTCACTTCCTTCATTTATTCTTTCACATAACACATTTCCCCGTACTTGCTTTTTGGAAACATCATTTTCGGAGTTTTTAGATAGTGGAGATTTTGTCACGCGAGATCTTTCTGAGTTATTTGCTATTTCATCATTCACAGTATTTACAGAAGCTTTTAGCTTTGACTCTTTTCTTAATTGATCTCCAGAGGTCTCTGAAAGAAGGGAATTTTTCAGAAGGTGTTGCGATTTAGAGTTTTGAGTGCAGTTTTTTATATGTGTTACAAAGTCTTTGGCATCTACCTTCTCAGCGCATTCTTCACATGTAATTTTACCACTAACATTTTCGTTCTTGGATACAGATGGTTCATTTCCTTCTTTCAATGCAATCAGTTTATTCGTTTCCAATCTTTCTAACTCAAGAAGCTTTTTAACGGGCAAGGACTTCTTTCTTCTTTCTCTAGTTTGTTTGCACCTTCCTCCATTTTCCGAGATGGAACGTATAATATGTTCCTTATAATGAGCATTCTTCATCATGTGACAACTGAGCTCTTTCAGACTACCGAAGACCTGGCTGCACACCTTGCAAGTTAAGACAGCATTTAGATGAGACTGTGAAGTCATTTTATCAGCTGGGACTTTCCAAGATACGATCTGTTCTTGACTAATGATATTATTATAGTGTTGCGTGACTCTCATATGATTGGTCATGTCTGCCAGAGTCTTGAACGACTGTCCACACCACATGCATTTCAGAATCTGACGAGTTTGTTCGGCACCTTTACCTAGCCAAACATCTTGCCCTCTAACTAATCTTCGGGGAACGACCATACTCTCTTTGATTAAAAGGTTGCTTCCAATATTGGACGTTGAGCATTTTGAAACTGAAGGTATTTCGTCTGAGGAGACACTAATGCTTGAAGAAGTTGATGGCAAGGATGATCGCATCCCTGCCATTCCACATTTTGGGCTTTTCTGCATATGAATAGTCATTTCAGCTAGACTTTTAAAGGATTCTTTACACCAAACACAAGTAAAGACGTCTTTAGCTTGTTCCTCACTCTTATTAATCCAGTGGTTTTGCCATGGATTTTGCCGGCTTCCTGTCCGATATCCTTGTGGTTTTGTGACTGTATGGCACAATGCATTGATCTTTTGGAGAGCACTGGCCATGTTGGAAGAAACCACAGTAGGATTAAGCAGCTGACTTTGAGCAGCTGATGTGTGCTGAAAATTTACAAAAGGTTTAGGTATAGGACTGTATGATGCAGTCGAAGAGTCCTCAGGTGTCTTTGAACTCTCTAAAGATGATATTTTTCCATTCCAGGTTACAACACCTGGCGGTGAAATTTTCCGAGTTGAAGACGATTTGGGGGAAGTGGTTTCTACCCGCATGAACTTTAATTCCCTTGGACAATTTTCTACATTTTTCCTTCTGTGGGGGACGGAGAGATCAAGGGGTTCATTTTGTGATTCAGATGGTATTCCATTAATTGAAGATCCAGATGACAAAATAGAAGTTAATGAGGAATGTTGGTTCTGATTTCGAAAACTGAAATCAATAGGTCCGTCATCTATCATTGTCCCAGTTGCCAAGTAATTACAATAAATAAAATGTGATTGCTCAGTGTTAGTTAAGAATGCAGTAGAATCAAGGCTGGATTCTTTTGAAGAATGATCACAACCATTTGTTTCATCCGGGGATCTACGGGTTGACTGGACCAAGGCGATGTCAGTAGGAGTGGTTGACTGTTGTTCTGTGGCCGCCTGTTCAGCTAGTTCTTCATCAGCAATGTGCTCTTCAACTGAATCATAGTCAGAAGAAAGACTTTCCATTTCCGGCGTCTTTCTTGCCTCACCATCTTCCCCTGAAACAAACAAACAACAAAACAGAAGTTATTTACAATAATCATAATTTTGCTTTAAAAAGGTCTAGTTTTTAAAATACGATTTACTTTAAAGAATCGTCAGTGATCCTTTAATTAAAGAATTTCTGCTACTTGAAGTATATTGTTTGTTTGTTTTGAATAATATATTTTTGATGAGAGATATTATATGCCACAAGATGGTTGTTACATAATTTGTTTCTTATAAATTTCGAGCAAAGCTACACGAGTGCTATCTGCGCTAGCCGTCCCTAAGTTAGCAGTGGGAAGGCAGCTAGTCATCACCACCCACCGCCAACTCTTGGGCTACTCTTTTACCAACGAATAGTGGGATTGATGTCACATTATAACGCCCCCACGGCTGAAAGGGCAAGCATGTTTGGTGTGACGGAGATTCGAACCCGCGACCCTCAGATTGCGAGTCCAGCGCCCTAACCACCTGGCCATGCCGGGCTTGAAGTATATAAAAACTTGAACAAAGTTAACATCCAGTTGTTAATTTTTTACTATTATTTTTAACGCGTCGTGTAAATCGCTTGTAAATGAATAAGGCAATCTGTTTATGATGTGTTTGTTGTTATAAAAATACGGGGACAGAGCGCCGTAAACTAAGACTTAAAGTTTACCCACTCTTGAATAATATTCACACACATCAGACTGTTTTACTCTGTTGTTTTAAGAAGTACCATCTGCATAGAGCCATAAACCATCCTAAACCCCTTGCAGGGGTCACTTGAACATCACTTTTACGATAAAACTGTGCGTCATCACTGTTTTGACAGCTCTTAAATCGTACCATTTCCATCACCTTAAGGACTTTTAAAGAGCGGAGAGTCAGGCTGAAAATCAAGATAAAATAGTGCGGAGATATCATGTTGTTATTCTAGATTTTTTGGCAACTTAACTTTTACAAACGTGGAAAAATACTGTAGCTTTTATACCCTCATTATCCTTATTTTAGGAAGAGTTAGACATCACAACAAATTTAAGTTTATTTAAAACAAGCGCAGCTGAGCTCTGAAACTTTTTTTTTAAAGCAAAGTAGCCCCGTGGCTCAGCGGTACGTCTGATGTTTGTTTTGTTTTTGAATTTCGCGCAAAGCTACACGAGGGCTATCTGCGCTAGCCGTCCCTAATTTAGCAGTGTAAGACTAGAGGGAAGGCAGCTAGTCATCATCACCCACCGCCAACTCTTGGGCTACTCTTTTACCAACGAATAGTGGGATTGACCGTCACATTATAACGCCCCCACGGCTGAAAGGGCGAGCATGTTTGGTGTGACGGGGATTCGAACCCGCGACCCTCAGACTGCGAGTCGAGCGCCCTAACCACCTGGCCATGCCGGGCCGGTACATCTCAACTTTTTTATAAGGCTAAAAACCGGGTTTCGATATTCGTGGTGGGTAAAGCACAGAGAGCCCATTGCGTAGCTTTGTGCTTAAAAATAAATAAACAAACAACTTAACAAATATTTTCTTTAATACGGGTAATAATCTGAAATACTGTATATTCATTAGCCCTTGTTGACTCAAATGTTTATCATATTATTATTATTATACTGATGATGTTTACCTTACTATATCACACAGCTAATTACTGGTGGCACTCTAACTGTCCTTAACAATAAAATCTCAATAGAAACCAAGGACAAGTGAACACAGTGACTAATGAAACCATTGTCTGTTATGTGAAATAATGATTGAGCGAATGGAATTCATTGTTCGACATACAGAATGAGTGTTAAAATTTTCGGCAATGGGACGCTAGCTCCAAAACCTCGAATTCACGCTTGGGCTCTCACTGACTTGCTATAGGGTAAAAAACCAAAACGCTCCCACGAAGTGTGTAAAGTGGACTCTGGAGCTGAGGTTTCGTGGTTTGTGTCCCGTTATTGGCAGAAAAAAAAGAATCGCGCTCTGCACTTTGAGTGACGTTCAAAATCCCACTATTCGGTCTGACAAAAAATAGCCCAAGAGTTTGTTACGGGTGATGTTAAGTAGTTGTCTTTCCTTTATCACTTCAAGTTAACATTATGAATGACGACAGATGTTTTAAACCAATAACCAGCCTTCTCACAACTTTATGATACAACACCATGTTTTCGTCTGGATGGTTTGGCCTGAATCAAACTGTAGTGAAATTTCACCAGTCACATAACTTTGGGTTAAAATAAACAAAAGTCGACAACAAACAGATGGATTGTAGCCTCGTGTAGTGGATTTTTACAAAAGGAGCTAACCACGTGTAACGTCTACAAAGAAATTCAAGATAAATTCGTCAAAATTGCCTTTGAAAAAGTTACCGTAGAGAATCTGAATTATATATGATTTACAGCCAACAGTAAGTAAATCCGTGCATCCCTACCACTAGGAGGCGCCAGGTCATCAGAAGGGCCAAGCAGATGATATTTTCTCTGTCATGTGTTTAACAGGAGAAGGCACCCGACATTTGTCTCTTTACATGAACAGCATACACTCCGAATAGCCTCTGAAACCCCTATCGGCAAGTCTTTGCTAAATATATGAGTTTCTTGTGAAATGTGAAGTATAGTAATGGTCCGTTGTTAATTGATAAACGCTCGTCCTTGTTAGCCTGTTGAAAGCGTGCAGATTGTTTAGGATATTCATACCAACTGTTAATTAAAAACGAAATGCTTGCAATATATATCAGTGAATCATGATTATACGGACGAAAGAATTATCAGTATACACTAATACAATCAAATATTTAGATATTTAAATCCTTTTTGTGCATGTTTGAATTTTAACCCAACACTATTTCATCGGATTTCATGGGTCATGGGAAACATGAACATTGTAGATTAATAATTGTTTTATCAACTGCTCCTTCCTTCCTTGGGTCTTAAAGGGGCTTTAAAAATCACAGTAAAAGTGGCCAATTATAAACTAAGTAATGTAGTATCCTCTAAATCGTACCTGAACAAAGTATATTACATTTTACCCTTTTCATTCCGTTGTCAATACAATCGTAACTAGAGGTATGTTTATTAACAGGAGAGCTCTGGATGAGATACAAGTTATAGGAAGAAAATCGAAGCATGTTCTAACAGCCTTGCAAATCTTTGACGCATAAATTGTAAGTTTACGTCTCTAGCACTTTTACTTTCTGTTGCTTTAATTAACGAGCTTCGTCTGCCTTTTTTTTTCTAATTGAAAATTAGAGATTCAATGATAGAGAGATTAATAAACACAGAGAAAGACACGTGCAAAGAGAGAAAAGAAGATAAATACAGACATGAATGTTGGATAAGCAGTAATAAGACAGATAAACGTAGAGACTCAGATAGATAAACAAAAGAGACACAGAAAAGAAGATAATTAACTAAAGAAGCGAACAAACAAAATCAGACAGACAACCAGATTTAGAAACAGATAAATATCTAGACGGTTAGTCGAACAGATGCGTAAAATTCATAAAACTGTTGCTTTCTGTTTCAGGGCGAAAAAGAGAAACAGTTATATTAACCGAATATAAACTGAATTGGAAACGCAAACTGGTATACTTTTTTGTGACGATTTTTTTTACGTAACATAAGCATCAAAACACACGATGTTAAAAAATAGTTTAATGGTTGATCTTGAATTTTAATGTTTAAATTAAGCCTTTTGCTCGACGACTGTCGGAATATTCTAAGAGCATACCGAGGAGGCGAAATGACCTTGCTATTCGACACAAGAAGATAAAAAACAAGACTGAGAAGACAACCGAAACAGCAAACATCCTGCGATTCTAAGATGCTTCACAATCAAACAATGGCAGGCACGTAATTTTCTTTAGCTTCAATATAAATTATATCAATAACCGGATTTTCTTGTCTCCAATCATCTGTAATAGGTCACGTGACTTCTGCTTGTCAGGTAAATCTTTGATGGATGAGTAACCCGCTTTATAACCAACGAACCCTAGAAACGACCCATAATCAATAATAACTGGGTTCAAGGGTACAGTTTTTGAAGGAAAAGATTAGAATTCACAAACATTTATTACTCGAAACAGGCCTAGCTTGAAAGTAGTGACGGAGAGGACATAAAGTTATTTATTTGTTATAATGAATAACAAACAACGTAATATGTTACTTTGAGCACCCGCTTTAGTTGTACAACTTGAATGCTAATTTACATTTAAAAGTATTTATTACTTGAAACAATATCACAAAGAATCTAAGCGATAGTAATAATTTATCGGATTTAAAAAGACATTCCATGTTTGGTTGCTTGTTGTTTTTTTTTCTATCTTTGGCTTATTTTAGTAATATATTTCAGCATTTAAATCATTCTTGAGATTTAACTTACCTATTAAAGAATTTCTGTTGCTTTTTGAACATTTTCAAATACGTTTTACTAATCTTTTCTTATTTTAACTGTCATTAAGCCTGATTTCTAGACCTGATATACCTTACAACTTTAGATCCTAAGTTTAACAATACCCTTCTCTTCTGACCAGTCATAAAGAATTGCTATTTTCGTAATAACCATACGGTTTGTTTGCGTTGCTTTGGAATTTTCGCGCAAAGCTTTGCAAGGGATATTTGCGCAGAGTTGCCCCTTATTTTGGACTCACAGACTAGGGGAGACTTATTAATGTGAAGGTAGTGGAAGCTAGTTAAATGAAGAAAATCGCATTTTGATATAATTACTGATTTATCTTTCTGGGAGTTTTATTGTTCTTACTACATGTGTCAGAGGAAAACACGTACGCACATGGGGAAAAGCACCCACCGCCAACTCTTGGGCTACCCTTATCAGACCGAATAGTTGGGTTTTACCGTAATTTTTATAACCCACCTACGCCTTCACGGTGCGTAAAGCGTTTTTGTGGTAACGGGACGTGAACCGTGATCCCTCGTATTTACAGTACGGGCAAGTTAAACACGAGGTTATGCTTAGCCTCCATATCCATATGTATTCTATTTTAATAGACTTTATATAGAAAATGTTCCTTAATATTCTAAGTTCT